ATAACAATTCATTTTCGGCAGCGGCATGATTTCGCCGGGAACGTGACCGCACTGCATACGTTGCTCTCAAGGGCGAGTGGTAATGTCGGCGGGACGTACGTTGGACAGAAGAGGAGGGAACGCGGGGACTAACGTGCGGTTACTCGTGTGCCCGCGCTGCGAAATTACTTTAAATTATGGAGAATGGAGGTTGAGAGAAGAGATTGGGAAGTGCGGCACGTTTCTTGCTGGCCGGCTGCACCCGTCCCGGCAGAAGGAGAAATAGGGGAAAAAAGTTAATGCTCTTTCCCTCTTATACTCGTTCCTCCATTTTCGTCCCCCTCCCCACTCCCATTCTCCCTTTCTCTCTCTTTTTCTCGTCCCCGTCCACTGTTCGGCTCTCTTTCTCTTTTCACATTCCGCCATATACCCGCTGCTCTCTGTCGTTTCTTCTTTCCTTTTCGAGATTTCTCACTCCCGCGCGTCTTTTCCTCCATTTTCATCACCCTTACACTTTTGACCCCGCTGTCCTTTTCCCTCTCTTTCCTTCTCTTCCAACTTTCCACAAGCTTCGTTTCTTATTTCTCCACTTCCTCGGGCTTTCTCTCTCTCTCTCACTCATCCCTTTATTTTCGTTCTACTTTCACCCTTATATACCGCCTTGCTCCGCATTTATATATGCATCTCCATTTCCTCTCCGTATCGCTTATTTCAGTCCTTTATATTTTAATTGCAGCTTAACATTACCATTCGGCGATTAAATATGTAAGCGTACTCCTCGTACGTTTACATAGTTTTCGTTGAAAATGATAACACACAGATTAGATCGATTGAACATTTTAATTAGCAATCCATCCCTTCATGTATCATAACTTAAGATAAAGATTTTCCGCGCTTCGTAATTTATAATAAGTATTAATTTCACTTGAATTCACCACAATATATTAAACTTGCCAACAAAGACTGTGTGCATGTACCTGCCTCGTATTCTCGCATATTTCCATAATTCGCGTCAATTTTCATAATTCCTAACTTTTTCGCTCCCAACTTTTGTAGCACATTTTAATTCTTCGGCGAACATTCGCTAGACTGAATAAACCGCACGCTTTCTCTCCCTCTCTGTCTGGTTCCAACCCTCGCACACTTAGTTCCCTGTACATAGTCGTACGCATGTGCACCCCCGCGTGAAGTGCAGCCCCGAGCCGGTTGCATATCTCCACGCCAGGAATTGGAGTGGATGGCGAACGTGGGTACAATAGTTCGCATTGTATTGGATCTAGCCGAGTGATAGGCCCCTCTCTCGGTCTCCTCCGCTCCCTCGCTCCCTTTCTCCCTCTCTCTCTCTCGGGCGCTCTCGCTTTCCCTCATCCTCTCATCTCCCTCAACCCCTTCGTACTCACCCTCCTATCGTATCTCATTTTCTGAAGGCCCGGCGTGAGCGCGTATTGTGCCGCACGCTATGCCCAAATCTCGCTATCTATCGCCATTGCGGCCAACTGCGTCGCTTCCACCGTTTTGTGCCCTTTCAGCCGCGCTTTGGTTTAAGTGCAGTGTGTACCAAACGGATTCGGTGGACGCATTCTCCGAAGAACGACCACCACGCACGTTCACACCTCGTAACGAATGTTCTTCGCGATCGGTGACACTATCGGTATCATCGTGGAATGATTCTTCGTTCGTGGCTTAGTTCGTTAAGAGTAAAAAAAGAATATCATAGAACGATCGTTGCGCATCTCTTCTTACGATAAACGATAAATAATATAACATTAAAAATAAGCAACTCGATTCTAAAGAGAATTCATTTTCCTTCTATTATTATCGATGCGAGCTTAAGGAAATGTCTCTTTTCTCAAAAATGCCAGTTTTCAGATATATTTGTGCGTCGTGTGGATATTAATTTTCAATGGTGCCTTGCGGCGGCAGTAGTCGTAAGCACGAAAGCTCGTGGAAAGTACGCGACGACTAAATACCGATAAAGCATCTGCGAGAAATAATCATTTGCACTGATTAACGTCGCGAACAACATGTCAAGCGTGAGAATCCGGGCCATTGTGAATATCTGAATATCCGCGAGGCATGCGAATTCCCATATCTGATTGCGCGCGGATAGACTCGGATCTCATTTCCTGAGTACATCCAAGTATTTCATATATGTGCACGTGCGCTCCAGGCAAATGTTTCACTCGTATAATACGCATTGCGACGTAATGTTTTATTATTTTGCGGCAGGTACTTAATAACGCTGTTCATTTTCCAGAATAAATAGTTTTAGCGCCTTAAAATGCATAAGAGGAATAATTTACAATGGTGAATCGAAAATAATTCTCCATAATTTATATATTGATATTTTAATTAATATCGAGAAAAATAATAGAATATTACGGGAGATTAATGTGTTTCATGTTATATTTAATGCATATGTAAAATTTTCATAATTACTAGTTTTTTTAAAAGCATATTTAAATTAGCGAGTTTGCATTTGATTCCCGAGATATTTTCAGCGAAAAAAGTAATTCAATACTCTCCTTTGCAAAATTCGCAGCAGCACATGGCAAAAATATGCGGCTTCAACGAGGCGGTAATCCGGCTATAGGTAATCGAACGGCGCGTTTGAAAATTCGTCCTATCCTCGATAATTTATCGCCGCCCTCGACCCCCGTCGAACCCCTCTTCGCCTAAATATGCGGATTTGAGTAATCGGACCCGCGTATGTCACGGTGATCCCAATAACGGCACGCGCGCAGATAATTTGCTGCATTAGTATCGTACAGCGCGTGTACAAGCCCGTTTCATATAATTAGGCACATGATCGGGCGCGGGAAACACGCAATTATGGATTATTCGTTCCAGCGTGTAATGATAGGTAAATACAAGTAACCTATATAACGGAACGCAAGGAAAAGTACACAACCGTATAATTTTCTGTGCTTTTTATTCGATATTTATGTGAAAAAAATTGCCCAACTTATTCGGTGTAAGTCAACACTCAAGAAAATGATATTGTAGTCATATCGAAAATTATCTGTAATATGAGAAATTAACTAAAATAGATAAATGACTAGCAAATACTTCAATGTCACATATGTATTATATCTAATTAATATAAATGAATGAAATACAATTTTAATTTCAACTATTTGTCTAATTTAGCAAGAAAGTTTCTCTGTGAAGCCCATCCAGATTAAGACCAGTCGCACTTCTTATTGAAAATTAGTAGCAGGATCTGAATTTTCCTGCGCATATTGCTAGAATGTTACTGCTGTAAATTATACGTATCAGACAATTTTCTAACAGATACAGAAAACAGTGATACATTTTGTCTGTGACATTTAAAATTCTATCCGGACCAGCAAAACATTTCTCGGTGTGTAAATATTTATATGTATATAATTACGATTGCTTGTAGTCGTTTATTTGTATAATATTTTAATAATTTCTTGTGTAATTACATAATATATTAATCATATTTTAATTATATATATATATATATAT